TGTCGGAGAGGGACCCCTCATTTTACGCCCACGAAGCGAGACCACTACCACTAGGTCACGGGGCCTTTGATATGGAAGCGGCGAGTTCGCATTTCCAATTGATACTACTGTCAAGCAAAATTCGGGCCCCCATAACTTCTTAAGGAGAACCATTTTGCAGTTTTAATTTCCACTTTCGTAAACAGCATTCAGAACTCTATCGATTTATCTGGGTCTGAATTCAATGTTCCAAGATAAGTAGACTACCCCTCCCTGGTAAGACCCCTTAAGTAAGTGTTCCCCTGCCTTTCCCGAAAAAAGCGATTCCCAAGAAAATTGACGCTTCAGTGTCACGTAACAACATGGGACTTTTCCCACGACTTCATGCCTTTTCTAAAGTGCATGTCCTCGTGCTTAACGAGCTAGGGATAGACCAAATAGAATGTTCAGCCGAACATGAAGAACAGCCAGCCAGCCAGCCAGCAGTGACAAAAACGACACTATTGACTACGAAGGACATGACACACGTGGGGATAAAAACGAAAAATCGGAAAGATCCCAGGAGGATACGCCACGAATTCGACAATTATCTCAATTTGTTGATACAACTGGAGGGATGAAACTTCCTAGAGTTGATTTTTAAGGAATTTACGCCTTTCCGTATTCAGTAATGGAAAGAAAAAGAAGAAAAAAGAGAAAATTACATGAACAAGTCGTGCATAGGCTGAGTGAAAGTCGAAATTAGCTCAGAATGTGTCGAAAGGGTAGAAAAACTAGACGGATTCCGCTTCGTTTGCCAAGTCGCTAGACGAGATGAGGACTTGAAGCAAGAGCTGTGTGCACTGAAGCATAGAACAGTTCCTGGGGAAGAAGAGGAAGAAGAAAAGGGAGCTTCCCGTCGACAGCACATACGGGAAGCCATAAACAATAGCACGAAGTCGTGTTTACAAACCACGACGAACCATATGGCTATGGGGCGTTGATGGCTGGCTGCCTGAAATTGGCTCTCCATCTACCCGTCCGTTAGCGTTGGCTTTCAACTCCACCCCCTTCCTCAACGACGATTCGATTCATGAATAAACACACCCAACAAATGCACTTACCAAATACACAACGGAACTGGAAATATACTAAAAACATGTTCAAAAAGATAATTGACTTTCGGGATGCCATTCGGGGTTCCTGGGTAACGGAGGGTTCCCACTCCCTATTTTGATTGACGAAGATGTATCACGCTCAAGGAACCTTCACTTAGTTATTGTGGCACGGAGGGAATAAACGAGAAAAAGAGGGCAACTCGAAAATGGAGACAGTAGAATGGCAAACAAATAAAACATTTGAGGTGTGTGGAAGTTTTTAGGATGCGCCGCGCATCAATTTCCTGCTCCATTTTAGACTATCAATTGGAAGCAAAACCCCTATCTACACAAGTTTTGGGTACATGGCGCATCCCAGAGGGAATCGCAATCTGAACGGCTTTATATTCTTGCCTTTTTGCATAAGTCCGCAGTCCTACACTGGATTCAGCAAACTTTGAAATTACCTGAGCATTCAAAGGACACCGTTTCACTGAGATTCGTCTTTCCCCCCTTCCTCCCCAGAGTGGAGGAGAGCAAGGTATTTCGTAGTATCAGCCTCCCACTTTCTACCCTTGAGAAGACACCATCGGTCAGGACGCCGATCGGTAAGTCATCTGGGCGACATCTCTTTACCTGATCATTCTATCTACTTGTAGCCGTTTTCGTAGGGACTTGAACGGCGTGTGCATTTCTTTCTGGTTGATTTCCCTTCCGTTCAGCAGCGGCTGTTCTTTGACCTTCGGAGCAAGACCCACCACTTTGGCCATCCTGCCATTTAGCCGCCTTAAAGCATGATCACCAGCGATGACAATGCCCAAGGTGTCCATGAATGAACATGTTCCCACCAATCTTATCCAAATGGGAAAGAATTTGCTTGTATGAATCCGACCTATAAGGATGCATTCATCACCTTGGACTTACACAGATCCTGGCTCTATAGAACACGGTTTAGGAGCCGGAGTCGTGCAGCAACACCTATCTCTGAGCCCTCCTTCGGCCACGGTTTTGCACAATCTGACCCCTGAAGCCTCCTACCGCTCCACTCTTCTCACTCATGCCATATCTACTCAAATCTCCAATGCATAGGCTATAACAGCATTAGTGACTACAGCACCGGTTTCTTGAAGCCTCCCGAATTTTTGACCT